GGGTCCAACAGTCCTCTGTACTGTGTCTCACTGCTCTAGAGTGGTCACATCTAGCATCAGCTCGGTGCAAGGGGGACTCGGGGTTTAGCCGATTCGGGGCCACTGACTGCAATAGATTTAGCCTGATTAGCTTTTGGAACAAGCTTGAATACGATTCACCAATATGGGTGAACTGATTCTTTCTGAAAGGCTCTCTTGGGCGAGGATTGTATTGGGGATCATTTGGTTGAGGATTATATGGAGCTTGGTAAGGATGGGCATTTCTGGGAGGTGGAGCTCGATTTTGTGTATAATGTTGTGGCTGCGTGTAAGATTGCGCGCTCATCACCGCATAGGGAGGCAGTGCCACGACATAAACATCATCTTGAAGGGGACAATAGTGTGGTGGGACCATATGAGACACATATGACTGGCTGAATGACCTGCAGGCCCCCTTGAGCTTGAAACCATCATGACTCCCTCCTCACTCCCATTTCTATTCATCAAACCCTCCGAACCATTTTGAACATCTGGTGATGTGGCTTTAAAAGCAGCATGAATCAAGATTCGGCCCATTTTTAGACCGTTTTCAACCATTTCCCCAATTTTGATAGCCTCAGCGAATGACTTACCCACAACAAACATCATGTTCTGGAAGTAGTCAGCCTCTTGGGCTTGCAGAAAAACTGTGACCATTTCAATTTCGTCCATTGGAGGCTTTACCCTGGCAGATTACTCACGCCATTTGACAACATATTCGCTGAAGCTTTCCGCGGTTTTCTTTTTCAAATTGGACAAGGAGTTTCTGTCGGGAGCGATGTCCACATTATATTGAAACTGGCGGACAAAATCTCGAGCCATATCGTCCCACACATGCCAATGAGTAATTTCTTGATCCGTATACCACTCAGAAGCAATTTTGGAGAGGCTTTACCCTAAATAGGCCATTAGCAGCTCCTCTTTTCCACCAGCACCCCTCAGCTAGTTACAATATCATTTCAGATGAGCGACCAGGTCTCCGTGCCCGTCGTACTTTTCAAATTTTGGCATCTTGAAGCCAACTGGCAAGTGGACATGGGAAAACATACAAAGGTCGGAGTATGAGACACTCTTTTTGGCTACTCAGACCTTGCATATTTTTCAAGCTTTGTTCTAGGCTCTTCATCTTCCTAGCCATTTCCTCTTGCTCTGGATTTTTAACAACCTTTTCTTGCTCCCCCGAGAGATCATATTGCGGAGGTTTAGTGAAAGAGTACGGGGTCACATATGCTATTTCTGACTGAAGCTGTGGACCCTGAAAGATGAACATTGGAGGCAGTGCCTTTGAAGCCGGTGCCTGGGGGCGAACCACAAAAGGCATGCCAAGATCATTGGAGGGAATTGGAAGGTGCCCGCATGGAATACACGGGTTTGGCACAGGGGCATTGGTAAACTCACTTGACCTGGGGATCAACTCAGGGAACACAGGGATTGCACTTGGCGGTTCCCTACCATTAGACCAGGCGTCCCACATTTCCAATATACGGAGATGCAACATCTTATTCTCTTCAGCAGCTGCTGATTCTAGCTGCAGAATAGCCGATGTTGGGCTATCCTCAGGACTGATGATTGGTAGATTACTTGCAAAGTCCATCCGTGCCTTTGGATTTTGTGAAGGAGGGGAGGCTAGACTACCAACAAAACAACCTCCAAAACCTGGCTAGTTTGCACATCCAACAACCTTGTTAGTTTTGAAACATTTAACATATGGGAAATCGCACGTTGGGATGCAACATACTTGACAGTTAAACGCTTCTACCATGTGTTTGAATGGTTGCATGTTTCATCCCGACCTTAGTTAACCCTTTCAGTATGTACTCGTTTTCTTTTATTTCTACCTCTCTTAATCACTCTTGATTTTTTTTTCCATTTCGTTTTTGTTGCTCTTTTATTTTTTGGCACTCTTTTTTTGTTTTCTTTTTGTCACTTTTTTTTCACTCTTTTTTTTTCACTCAATTTTTTCTCTCTCTTTTTTTTTTAGTTTATTTTTCACTCAGTTAATTTTATGGCTATGATCGAATCCGATGAGGATTGCCTACGTATCATGACGCCGCATGAATCAGATCTTGCGTAGTTCGGGAAGATCGAGAATGGAGTAAATAAGCTAACTCATTTTTTTTACTTTTTATAAAACTCAAACCATGAAAGGTTTAAGACCAAAGAAAAACATTTTTTGATTTTGATTTTTTTTATTTCTTTTGGAATTTTTGGAAAAATGCTTTAAAAGAAGAAAGGAATTTTTTTTGGACTTTTGATTTGATTGATTTTTGTTTATTTATTTTTGAAAGAGAGACTTCTAAAAATTTCTTTTCTTTTTTGAGCTTTGAGAATTTCAAAAGTAAGAAGAATTGTTTTTGAATTTTTATTTGTTTTCTCTTTTTCTAAACAAGAAAGAAAATATTTTTGGATTTTGGATGTTGCCTCTTAATTTTCGAAAGAGGGACTATTTAAGAAAAATATTTTGGACTTATGAGATTTTTTTAATTATTATTATTACAAAAGTAATTCTAAAGAAAAACGAAAATATTTTTGGACTTCAATTTTTCAAGTTTTATGACATTTATGAAAGAAAGACTTTTAAAGAAGGAAAAGAATATTTTTTTTGAATTTTTGAGAAAAATACTTCAAAATAAAGGAAACCCACAATTTGGATTTTGATATTTGATTTTATTTTTTTTTCCATATGAAAGACTTCAGAAAGAAATAACTAAAGAAAAATATTTTTGAATTTTTGAAAATTGGGGTCAGAACCGATGAGATTTGCCTACGTATCTCACATCCGGTGAGAATCAGACCTGCGTAGTACGGTCAGTATTGATGGAACATGGGTAACATGGCACTTGAATTTTTGGCTCATTTTGAAATGATTTTTCTTTTTTCAGAATTTCGGCAGAGTTTCTGAATTTTCTAAATACCTACCTCTCACTTTTATTTTCCTTTTTTTTTCTCTCTTTTTTTTTGATTTTCTTTTTCTATTCTAGAAACCAGTCAACATGCAAGCCGAAACAAACAGATGCGCAAATAGCACATAAGATGAATCAGGATGGTCTTTTTAATTTGGGTACACCTGCCCTAGGCGGACCCAACCCCTGTGTTGAGTCCCCAAATCAAATGCACATGATGCAAACAAGCGTTCCTACTAGGGATCTGGCATGAGGATGAGTTATTCTAGGTTTAAAACCTGGATGTATTGTTCTAGACTTGGGTTATCCGAGCGGACAACTGGGGACGAAGAGGGGGCAACGTACCGGGAGCACTAAAGTCTATCCGACCTTGTTTCTGGCCCAGCTTCGATCTATTTGGTATAATTTCTACAGAAAAAGCGGGCCACACGGACGTGTGCACCATTTTCAGAAGACTTAGAGGGGTGGCGTAAGAAGACATTTAAATACAGTTCAAGTAATATCAAAGCGGTAAATGACAATTAGCACATTAAGTCCACAAAATACAGTATCAACAATAAAGCCAAATAAAAATTGCATTTAACAAGCTCGAAATCTTGAACCCTGAACCGGAAGTTCTGGGTTCTTATCCCCAGCAGAATCGCAAGAGCTGTCACACCTTCTTTTTTACCACCCGAGGGTATATAAGGGATTTTTGCCAATTTAAGTGACATTATTCGAAATGGATTATTTATTTAATTCTTAGAGTCACCACTTGGAATATTTTAATTGGTGTCCCAAGTCACCGGTTTATTTTAAATCTCAAATCGAGGAAATTTCGACTTTCCTTTTGAAGTCTGCGAACCAAAAATTCTAAGTAAGGAATTCTTTTAACCCGGAAGAAGGTGTTAGGCATTCCTGGGTTCCGTGGTTCTAGAACGGTCGCTTAGCAATTTATACTTGGCTTAATTATTTAACTACTCATTTTTAAAACCTATGTGCAATTATCTTTTACCGCTTTTAATCACTTGATTTATTCGTAATTAAAGAATTGAGTTACGCATACGTATACTCTTTTCCATTGACGCGTCAAAATCATGTCACGCGAACATGTCCACGATTAATGACGCCTTTTGTTGATTTATTAAGAAAAGTTTGGTTGAAATTGCGCGAACGCATCCCTAGAGTCTTTTATGAATTTAATTTGCAATTATATTACGCGAACGTATATATAATCGCAATACTAATATAAATTGGGCCTAAAGAAAACTACGATGGTTTGAATTAATAAGAAGTTTGCGAGGGCCATGAAAAATTTAATAATGGCACACCTCGATCTTAAAGAGTTGTTACTAATTATAGGAGGGCCATGGGTTATTTAATTTTGTTTATGTCACACCTCGAATCTAATTTTTAAGGATATTTGAACTAATCTTTTGAGGGCGATAATTATAGCTTACTTAATATGACAAGCCTCAAATCTAAATTTAAAGGGGGCTAATTAATTAAAGAAGGCTTAAGGATTCGAAATTATTTTTAAGGAAAATGTTCAAACCAACTTAACAATTAGCAGACATCGCATGAAAAAAGTTGATCGTTCAAAGAAGGCTTGCGCCGACAACGGCAACGACATCTAGACGAGGAATTGGGCTCGAAAAAGAAACATGCCTAAACATTATAGGGTATACAATTTCCATTTGCTAGTGAACTCAAGTTTTGGGCCCAAAGGGAACCCAAATTTTGTGAAAAGTGTGGACATCAAAGGGTCTGGAAACGAGATCGAGTCCCCATGAAGCAAATAAACCTGGACATCAAGAGCCTTGGGCTCTAAACAACCTTTTTGTAACCCAAATCCGATTAGACTTGAACAATTTTAGTAGAGTAAGCATGAAATACATTAACCAATCGAGATGCAAAATGCAGAAAATAGAGATGCCATTCGTTTAAGCATTAAAATTACTGTCATGATTTCCATACATAGTGAGCTTGACAGTAGATTCCCTAAACATCAGATGTCACAATGACCCAATAGTCTTTGAGCTTATTCATCTTTAAAGAACAAAATTCCGAACCAAGCCAAATCATTTGTGAAGGTTAATCTGAAATTAAATATCACTGATATTGCAACAACTCATTCAAAACCCCAAAGTAGTGCTGTCTATCCCATACTAAACCTATAATGACAGTATCAACCACCTAACGACCTTTGGCAGAAAGAATTCAAACATGCTAAAACCATAATAACAGAAGTCCAAATACAAATCTAATTCATATCAACAAGGTTAATGGTATGAATAAATACAAGAGGTAATGTATTAAAAGCATAATTTTACATGGAATGTGAATGAATCTTCAGTAAGACAGCTTGACATTCAACTAAAACTCAGGTTTACAACTTCAACATGCTTCAAACTCAAACTTCACATATTGATAAGGTCCAAAATGTACCTGGTTACAACAACAAAACAACAGAGAAAATGAGTTCGAATTTAGGAAGAGAAATAACAGCAGCACATCAACAACACCAAAACAACCAAACAAACAGCACTACTCAGCCTTTTTGGACCAGCTTTGAACCCAGAATGACCAAAATTCTTAAAGAAGTTTTAAACTCTGAAGATGACAGCAGAACTAGGCCAACTTCTACTAAAAATGCAAGGGATTTTAGGTCTTTTTAGCTCAACCGTTTCTACTTTTTCCAAGTTTTTAATCTCTGAAAATCTGCCTTGATAATGAAGTAACAAACCTTTTATAGAGGCTTCTAGGGCAGCAGAATTGGGTTTCAAATTTTACCTATTGCCCTTTTTCCAATTTTCGTTTTTGCTAGTTAGTCCTTAAATTCAAATTCTGTTTATTAAATTAGCCCAACCCTCTCTTTCCTGGAAACTTCCTATTCAATTACCCAAGATTCCCCTTGATTAAATTCCCTAAACTACCCTTAAACCCTCTGTTTTTTACTTCAAGACCAAATATGGGTCAGGTCGACCCAAACAACAAAACAAAATCCTTGGGCTGTTGTTGGAAATAAACCAGAGGCCCAAAACTCCACCCAACCACATGAGTGTTCTGAAACTCAATAATCTGACCCGAACAAATTAAAACTCAAATGATGGCCCTAAAAAAAAACTCAACCATTTTTTAATACTAACTATGAAAAACAAACAGAATTAATTCTAACCTTTTAACAAAATTAGTCCAAGATTAACTCATAACTACTTCTTATCCGAATTTTAACTAATTAAAGAGAAAATGAAAACAGAGAGAAAAGAAAAAAGAAAAAGAAAGAATGAGGATAGAAGAGAACAAAAGCAAGGAAAGACATGAACATGGATACCTAAGGTTGGAGATGAACAAGCTTGAAAAGCTTATCCGACAACTTCCGATTTGAACCAAAATGAGTGTTAGTCGAGTTGTTCTCGTAAGAACAACTGTCTAACACTCGTCTTAGGTCGAAATCCCTTCAATGCTTGGAGAAAATTAAACCGGACCCCTTTTACATGATAGGTCAAAGGCTGGAAAGGACTTAGAGTTCTTTTTAGATCTGAAATCAAAAAAAGATGGAGAGGATTTTGGGGAAATCGATGGTGGTTTAGTGTTTGAGGGGTTATGGGGAGTGTGTGGTAAAGTTTTGGGCGGATTTGGAGGCCAACCGCCGGGGGGAATGGCGGAGGTTTACAGGCGGCATTAGCGTTCTTACACTTGGGGAAGATGAAGCAAAGAAAGTACATGAGTTAAACTGAAGGGGGTTCGGAAACTTTAATTAAATAAGGGGGAAGTGTTTAAGCCCTTGGATAAAAGGAAATGAAGGGCCCAAATTGATTTTAAAACTTCAAACTCAAAACGACGTAGTCTCACGCCTATACTACGTCGTTTCAAAGGTCTTGGGGGTTGACGTCTTGGACCGGTTTAAAGCATGATTGGGCCGGATCTTTGAGCGGGTTTCAGGGGATCTTGAATGTTTGGGCTGATATGAATTGGACCAAACACAGCTTCTCTTATTTCATTTCCCTTTTCTTTTCATTTTTCAATTTTCTTTTCTTTTCAAATTAAAATAAACCCAAATTAACTTCTTAAAACTAAATTAATTTACCAAAAATAATCTAATTACCCTTATAGTAATTACAAAAATTAATTAAGTCCTAAATTAAAAGAAAAAGCTATAAAATTCAAAAATTAAAAGGTTAAAATGCAAAATGAGTTATTTTTTTGTGATTTTTTATTTTTATAAACAATTATCTTACTATTTAACCTAAAAAACGTAAAATCAATCCTAAATGCAAATGCGAAGTATTTTTGTATTTTCATGAATTAAACTAAAAATTAAACACACACAGAAAATTGCAAATAATTAAGAAAATTCTACAATAATTTTTAAAATGACAAATAATTAAAAGAAAAATCTAATTCTTTGGGATTCTGTAGGAGTAATTCATGTGAGGCAAAAATTACGTGCTCACAAACTTAAGGGAGTACTTGTATTAATTTTGCTCTAATTGGTTCTGAGTTCCATAATTACTATACTATTATGATTCTTGCCTTATTTTACCTAGTTTCGAACTACTATATATATACATACTCTCTCATTAACACAAACACACGAACGCATTGGTTCAAAAAGCTCTCTCACACTCAAATACTTTCTGCTATCTCTTTGATTACTTGCTATTATTCTGAGTTAGCCGGCTGCAAGCCAAGACTAACTATTGTGCTTTCCTATTCCTCACTTTGTGTTTACCATCCCTCTACTGGTATGTTCTGAGTTCAATTTAAGTCTCAAAACCAATATGTTTCTTTTACTACTTCAGTTTATCATGTTTCTCATTTGTTTCTATCTATGGTTCTGTTACTCAACATGCAATTGACATGTTTACATTACTACTTCATCTATCATGCTAATCTAACATTCTTAGGTTTTTCAGAACATGTTCTACCCCCTCCCCTAGTAGTATGTCTTAACATGACTCTACCTTGCTTTGAATGCTTGTCTACTGTTATCCAGTTTTGATATGCAACCTGATCTGTCACTTTAAATGGTTGATTCTATGATTGTTTCTGAAACTCCTACTGTATTGGTACCAATATCTATCCTTTAAAATCCTTTGAACCCCTTTCAAGGCTTCTCTGATTCTGTACCTATGTGCATCTGTGCTTACTATGTGCCCTATACTTACCCCAAATCCCCATTACCCCTTGAGTGGATATGTGAACCTGTTTGATTCCATGTATTGAAGTGCTGATGAACTTCTTCTAATTTTGTAATTGGTTTGATTGATTGTCAGTCACCTTACCCTTTTCAAAATTGTCTTATTTAATAACTCCCTATTTTCTTTACAAAACTATTTCAAGCAAATCCCTTGTAACACTGTTTTCCTACTGAAACATTTTCAAACTGTGTCAAGCACTCTCACTCTACTCCTAAGTTACTAGGTTCTGCCCCCTCCAGTGTGCGTACTGCCTTGGGATCCTTTTGAGAACCCTCTGAACTCTGGCACACTGAGGATGACCCTTCCACACTGCACTTACTCAATTTGGCTCCAAAGTCTAGGTGTGAGCACTGCCCGGGATTCTTGAGATCCTTAGGGAACTCTGACATACCTGGACAATGATATTGTCTGTGAAATTGGCATTTGAGGCTATTGGAGGTTTTTGGGAAATCACATGGGCCTGCTTCAGGCTCCCTATAGTGTAACTTCCTGTTTTTTTTTTATCTATTTATGTAATTTATTCATCTGGTTTGTAATAATTTGTAAACGAATATTGGGGTGACTAGTGAAAAAGGGTGGGTAGTTACATATTTGTGGGGTAATATGGGTAGAAACCATGCCTATAGGATTTTATATTTGCTACGTTTACCTTACCATGTTAGAAATCATGCCTATAGGTCTCAAGTGGTTCCAATAATAGAAATCATGTTTATAGGTCTTAAAACAACCTTCACGAGTAGATACCATGCCTATAGAATATGATCCTGTTTAACTTTTGTTATAACGAGTATTTACATGTGTTTCCATTTGTTATCATGCCTACAAGTTTCTAACATCAACTATTAACAATTAGATATCATGCCTATAGGGAACAACACTAGAAATTCGGCATATAGATCTAAAATCAGTCTAGTTTAAATAAGTCAATCCAGTTCATGATTAGTTTATTTTAAAACTGGTCTAATTAGTGATTTGTTTTCCCTGAAATGAATTCTTTCGAGTACTGCTCTAATTTACTATTAGAAAGCATGCCTATAGGAACTCAAGAGTCTGTTTTAAAATTTGCCCACTATTTTACTATATCAAACGTAGTCATCATGCTTTTAGGACACCACTATTCAGCGTGTAGGCAAGCATATAGGGTGTTTTCAAATCCTGCAACTCTGAAACTGTTTCTGTCACTTAATGTTGTTCTGATTTAACATGCTTAAAGATAGGGCCACTACTTCTGAGTTTATAAAATAAACCGCCTATCTTCTATATTGATATTCACTTAGACATCATGTCTTAGGATACCGTTTAACAATACGACCCTTATTTGTGTTTGAGTCGTGCTGCTTATGTGCGTTGTTTGTGGAGGTAAACTTGAGCCTCTAGTTGCTTCTTTTTGCCTTATGTGCGAAGGTCCTATTTGTTCTTGCCTATCGCCTTAGTATTTTCTCCTTTAAACCTTAGGGTTTGTCTAGAACTGCCTATAGGTAGAGGTCCTAAATTTCCTCCAGGACCATTAAGAAGGGACGGGTAACAGCACGCAATAGAGATCGCTAACCAACACTCGTTTTAATAACCACTAAGGGGTGGGAAGAGTTGATATAAGATATGATGACTACATGCTAATGTCACGTGTAGCCCCTTATTGAGGAGTGTTTACCGGACATTGTGTGGGGTGATCCTGTAGGCTAACCAACCTAGGGCCTCTCCTTTCCCAAATCCCTTATGTTTAAAACTTTGTTTTATATGTATGCAACTTGTTCAAAATCTTTGTCTTATTATTTGAGTTATACAACGTCCAACGTGCTTTACTTGCAAATTATTTGATAAATCAACTATTTATGGACTAATTCCTAAATATAAGTTCGGCCGAGACCCACCGTTATGGACCGCGAGGGGTGCCTAACACCTTCCTCTCAAGGTTATTTCGAGGCCTTACCCTAAATCTCTGGTAATGCAAACCAATCCAAGAGTTAATCGCTCTAGGTGTCCTAACACACCATAATCCGTTAGGTGGCGACTCTTCAAATACCCAATTCCCAAAAGAAAATAAGTTATTACCCTAATGAATGTCGAAACCCCGGACTTCCCTGCGAAGGGAAAAAAGGGGGCGCGATAGTGTGCATGAAACGCAGGCCCTGTAAAATAAAAATGTACTGAGTATGTAAGGCATGAAAATTAGTACGTAAAAGACATAGATGAAACATGGAATACATAAACACATTTTTAAATCTGAATAACTTTGTAAATTCTGAAACGTTTATAACGTCATGCACATACGTATAAATGTTGTGTCATGCATAGGTATGGGTGTACATAATATCATCAAGCCACTGAGGGCATCCCATCATATCGTCTCGGCCACTGTGGGCAACATCATCAACATATACCAGTTGATCAGGTGGTGGTGCGTATATAACGCCGTAACCTTTTTCCATATCCCATATACATATATTTACATATATGCACGTATATAACACCATCTGATCATGGGTCGATGTACATGTATAAATGAGTAAAATGCATGAAAAATACGTAATA